AAATTGCCCAAAATGACCCGAAATGCCCCGAAATGACTGCAGGACTTCCCGCTGCTGCGGCCATTGTGACCACAGTGACCCCAAATGAATTTCAGTGACCCCAAGCAGCCCCAAAATGGCCTCAAAATGACCCAAAATGTCTCCAAATGACTGAAACGATACCAAAATGACCCAAAATGACGGAAAATTGCCCAAAATGACCGAAAATTGCCCGAAATGCCCCAAAATGACTGCAGGACTTGCTGGTGCTGCGGCCATTGTGACCACAGTGACCCCAAATGAATTTCAGTGACCCCAAACAGCCCCAAAATGGCCTCAAAATGACCCAAAATGTCTCCAAATGACTAAAACGACACCAAAATGACCGAAAATGGCCCAAAATGACCGAAAATTGCCCAAAACGCCCCGAAATGACCGCAGGACTTCCCGCTGCTGTGGCCATTGTGACCACAGTGACCCCAAATGAATTTCAGTGACCCCAAACAGCCCCAAAATGGCCTCAAAATGACCCAAAATGTCTCCAAATGACTAAAACGACACCAAAATGACCGAAAATGGCCCAAAATGACCGAAAATTGCCCAAAACGCCCCGAAATGACCGCAGGACTTCCCGCTGCTGTGGCCATTGTGACCACAGTGACCCCAAATGAATTTCAGTGACCACAAACAGCCCCAAAATGGCCTCAAAATGACCCAAAATGACCGAAAATGGCCCAAAATGACCGAAAATGGCCCAAAATGACCGAAAATGGCCCAAAATGACCGAAAATGGCCCAAAATGACCGAAAATGGCCCAAAATGACCGAAAATGGCCCAAAATGACCGAAAATTGCCCAAAACGCCCCGAAATGACCGCAGGACTTCCCGCTGCTGCGGCCATTGTGACCACAGTGACCCCAAATGAATTTCAGTGACCACAAACAGCCCCAAAATGGCCTCAAAATGACCCAAAATGTCTCCAAATGACTAAAACGATACCAAAATGACCCAAAATGACGGAAAATTGCCCAAAATGACCGGAAATGACCGCAGGACTTCCCGCTGCTGCGGCTGGACTCGCTGCCGGCCGCTCCGGCCACCGTCCTGGGCTTCTCCATGTTCAACACCAGCCACCGCTTCTACCCCGAGTTCGTGCGGAGCCTCAACATGTCCTGGCGCGAGAGCTGCGAGCTCGGGCCCTACCCCGGCCCCGCGGTGAGGGGGGACCCCAAAAACCCCGGGGGGACCCCGAAAAACCCGGGACAGGGAGGGGAATTTGGGGAGAAAGGCAAAAAATTCCGGGAGAAACGGTATAAAAATGGGGGAGGAACGAACGGATTTGCAACCCCCAAAACAACCCCAAAATCCCTGAAAACAACCCCAAAACCCCTGAAAATAACAAAAAAAAACCACCTAAAAACAACCCCAAAAACAACCCCAAAAATGCCCCCCAAAAACTGTAAAAACAACCCCAAAAACAACCCCAAAAACAACAGAAAAATCAACCACAAAAATACCCCAAAACAACCCTGAAAAAAACCCCGAAAACAACCCCAAAACCAACCCTGAAAACAGCCCCAAAACCCCCGAAAACAACCCCAAAAACGCCCCAAAAAAACTGTAAAAACAACCCCCAAAACAACCCCAAAAACCCCAAAAACAACCCCAAAAACAGCCAAAAATCAACCACAAAAATACCCCAAAACAACCCCGAAAAAAGTCCCCAAAACCCCGAAAACAACCCCAAAAACAGCCCCAAAAACGCCCCAAAAAAACTGTAAAAACAACCCCCAAAACAACCCCAAAAACCCCAAAAACAACCCCAAAACCAGCCAAAAAATCAACCACAAAAATACCCCAAAACAACCCCGGAAAAAGTCCCCAAAAACCCCGAAAACAACCCCAAAAACAACCCCAAAAACAACAACTCAAATTTGGGTTTTTTGGGGTATTTTTGGGTGTATTTTGGGGGATTTTGGGGCATTCTGGGTGGATTTTTGAGTGGATTTTTTGGGTGGATTTTGGGGTACTTGGAGGAACCCCAAAAATCTTGAAGGAACTCAAAAATCAAAGGAAAAAAAAGACAAAAAATTGGAAATTTGGAGTTTCAGAGAAACCAAATCCTTGGGAGTTTTTGGGTGGGGATGTGGGGACCCCAGACCCTCTTGGAGGAACCAAAAATTGGGGGAAAACCCCAAAAATCTTGGAGGAACCCCAAAAATCTTGAAGGAACTCAAAAATCAAAGGAAAAAAAAGACAAAAAATTGGAAATTTGGAGTTTCAGAGAAACCAAATCCTTGGGAGTTTTTGGGTGGGGATGTGGGGACCCCAGACCCTCTTGGAGGAACCAAAAATTGGGGGAAAACCCCAAAAATCTTGGAGGAACCCCAAAAATCTTGAAGGAACTCAAAAATCAAAGGAAAAAAAAGACAAAAAATTGGAAATTTGGAGTTTCAGAGAAACCAAATCCTTGGGAGTTTTTGGGTGGGGATGTGGGGACCCCAGACCCTCTTGGAGGAACCAAAAATTGGGGGAAAACCCCAAAAATCTTGGAGGAACCCCAAAAATCTTGAAGGAACTCAAAAATCAAAGGAAAAAAAAGACAAAAAATTGGAAATTTGGAGTTTCAGAGAAACCAAATCCTTGGGAGTTTTTGGGTGGGGATGTGGGGACCCCAGACCCTCTTGGAGGAACCAAAAATTGGGGGAAAACCCCAAAAATCTTGGAGGAACCTCAAAAATCTTGAGGGGACTCAAAAATCAAGGGAAAAAAAAAGACAAAAAATTGGAAATTCGGTGTCTCCGAGAACCCAAATCCTTGGGAGTTTTTGGGTGGGGATTTGGGGACCCCAGACCCTCTTGGAGGAACCAAAAATTGGGGGAAAACCCCAAAAATCTTGGAGGAACCCCAAAAATCTTGAAGGAACTCAAAAATCAAAGGAAAAAAAAGACAAAAAATTGGAAATTTGGAGTTTCAGAGAAACCAAATCCTTGGGAGTTTTTGGGTGGGGATGTGGGGACCCCAGACCCTCTTGGAGGAACCAAAAATTGGGGGAAAACCCCAAAAATCTTGGAGGAACCTCAAAAATCTTGAGGGGACTCAACAATCAAGGGAAAAAAAAAGACAAAAAATTGGAAATTTGGAGTTTCAGAGAACCCGAATCCTTGGGGGTTTTTGGGTGGGGATTTGGGGACCCCAGACCCTCTTGGGGGACCCCAAAACTGGGGGGAGACCCCAAAGAACTTGAAGAGACCCCAGAAAGTCTTGAACTGACCCTAAAACCTTGGAGGAACCTCAAAAATCGTGGGGAAAAAATGACAAAAAATTGGAAATTTGGAGTTTCAGAGAACCCGAATCCTTGGGAGTTTTTGGGTGGGGATTTGGGGACCCCGAACCCTCTCGGGGGACCCCAGACCCTCTTGGGGGACCCCAGGAAGGCCCGGACTCCCCGCAGCTGTCGGCGGCGCTGCTGTTCGACGCCGTGCACGTGGTGGTGGGCGCCGTGCGGGAGCTGAACCGCAGCCAGGAGATCGGGGGGCGGCCCCTGGCCTGCGCCGCGCCCGGGATCTGGCCCCACGGCACCAGCCTGATGAACTACCTGCGCATGGTGAGGGCCGCCCCGAAAAACCCGTAAAAAACACCCCAAAAACCCCAAAAACAACAGCGAAAACCCGGCGGGAATACCCCAAAAAACCCCTAAAAACAACCGCAAAAATGACCCCAAAAACACCCCTAAAAACAACCCCCAAAACGACCCCAAAAACCCCATAAAAACCCTCAAAACCCCAAAAAACAACCCCAAAAACCTAGTGGGAACACCCCAAAAAAAGTCCCTCAGAAACAACCCCAAAAACCCTGAAAACAACCCCAAAAACCTGGAGAATTTATGGAAAAAAAATTCGTGCAGATTTGGGGAAAAAATGGGGGGGCCTGTGCATGGTGAGGTGTGCCCCAAAAAACCCGAAAAAAACAAAAAAAAACAAACCCCAAAACAACACTGAAAACCTGGCGGGAATACCCCAAAAATAACCCCAAAAACAACCCCAAAAACCCCGAAGACAACCCCAAAAACAAGCTCAAAAACCCATAAAAACAACCCCAAAAACAACCCCAAAAATGCCCCCCAAAAACTGTAAAAACAACCCCAAAAACAACCCCAAAAATGCCCCCCAAAAACTGTAAAAACAACCCCAAAAACAACCCCAAAAACAACAGAAAAATCAACCACAAAAATACCCCAAAACAACCCTGAAAAAAACCCCGAAAACAACCCCAAAACCAACCCTGAAAACAGCCCCAAAACCCCCGAAAACAACCCCAAAAACGCCCCAAAAAAACTGTAAAAACAACCCCCAAAACAACCCCAAAAACCCCAAAAACAACCCCAAAAACAGCCAAAAATCAACCACAAAAATACCCCAAAACAACCCCGAAAAAAGTCCCCAAAACCCCGAAAACAACCCCAAAAACAGCCCCAAAAACAACAACTCAAATTTGGGTTTTTTGGGGTATTTTTGGGTGTATTTTGGGGGATTTTGGGGCATTCTGGGTGGATTTTTGAGTGGATTTTTTGGGTGGATTTTGGGGATATTCCGGGTGGATTTTTGGGGTAGTTTCAGTGTATTTTTGGGTGTATTTTGGGGTATTTTGGGGTATTTTTGGGGTATTTTAGGTTTATTTTTAGGGGTGTTTTGCACGTATTTTTGGGTGGATTTTGGGGTATTTTTGGGGTATTTTAGGTTTATTTTTAGGGGTGTTTTGCACGTATTTTTGGGTGGATTTTGGGGTATTTTGGGGGTGTGTGTTTTGGGGCATTTTTGGTGTATTTAGGGGTATATTTTTGGGCATATTTTGGGGTAATTTTGGGTCTATTTTGGGGTGGTTTTGGTTGGATTTTGGGTGTACTTTTGGTGTGTTTTTTGGGGTATTTGAGGGTATTTTGGGCATATTTTTTGGGTGAGTTTTGGGGGGATTTGGGGTATTTATGGGGTGTCTTTAGGGGTGTATTTTCGAGTATTTTGGGGTATTTTGGGCTGTATTTTTGGGGTATTTTTTGTGTATTTTTGGGTATATTTTGGGGCAGTTTTCAAATTTATTTTGGTGTACTTTTGGTGTGTTTTTTGGGGTATTTGAGGGTATTTTGGGCATATTTTTTGGGTGAGTTTTGGGGGGATTTGGGGTATTTATGGGGTGTCTTTAGGGGTGTATTTTCGAGTATTTTGGGGGATTTTGGGCTGTATTTTTGGGGTATTTTTTGTGTATTTTTGGGTATATTTTGGGGCAGTTTTCAAATTTATTTTGGTGTACTTTTGGTGTATTTAGGGGTATATTTTGGGGTATATTTTGGGGCATTTTTGGTGTATTTTGGGGCATTTTTGGCTGTATTTTTTGGACATTCTGGGTGGATTTTTAAGTGTATTTTTTGGGTGCATTTTGGGGTATTCCAGGTGTATTTTTGGGGTATTTTTGGTGTCTTTGGGGGTATATTTTGGGGTCTATTTGGGGGTATTTTGGGGCATTCTGGGTGGATTTTTGAGTGTATTTTTGGGTGCATTTCAGGGCATTTTGGGGGTGTATTTTGGGGTATTTTTGGTGTATTTGGGGGTATATTTTGGGGTCTATTTGGGGGTATTTTGGGGCATTCTGGGTGGATTTTTGAGTGTATTTTTGGGTGCATTTCAGGGCATTTTGGGGGTGTATTTTGGGGTATTTTTGGTGTCTTTAGGTGTATATTTTGGCTTTTTTTTGGTGTGTATTTTGGGGTATTTTTGGTGTGTTTAGGGGTATATTTTGGCTGTATTTTTGGGGTATTTTGGGGTATTTTTGGTGTCTTTAGGTGTATATTTTGGCTTTTTTTGAGTGTATTTTGGCTGTATTTTGGGGTGTTTTTGGTGGATTTTGAGGGGGATTTTGGGGAGGATTTTGGCTGCATTTTGGGTGTATTCTGGCTGTATTTTTGGGGTATTTTTGGTGTGTTTAGGGGTATATTTTGGCTGTATTTTTGGGGTGGTTTTGGGGCGTTTTGAGGGGGATTTTGGCTGTATTTTGGCTGTATTCTGGCTGTATTTTTGGGGTATTTTTGGTGGATTTTGAGGGGGATTTTGGGGAGGATTTCGGCTGTATTTTGGGTGTATTTTGGCTTTTTTTTGGGGTGTTTTTGGGGCGTTTTGAGGGGGATTTTGGGGAGGATTTTGGGTGTATTTTGGCTGCATTTTTGGGGTGTTTTTGGGGCATTTTGGGCGCGTTCCAGGTGGAGTACGACGGGCTGACGGGGCGCGTGGAGTTCAACAGCAAAGGGCAGCGCACGAATTACAGCCTGAGGGTGCTGGAGAAGGGCCGGGACGGGCACCGCGAGGTGAGGGACCCTGAGTGACCACTGCCGATAACCGACCCCAAACCCCAATACCTGACCCCAAACCCCAATAACTGACCCCAAACCCCGATAACCGACCCCAAACCCCAATAACTGACCCCAATAACTGACCCCAAACCCCGATAACCGACCCCAAACCCCGATAACTGACCCCAAACCCCAAACCTGATCCCAAATCCAAAATCCCAAACCCCAAAAGTGACCCCAAATGTGACTCCAAACCCCAAACCTGACCCCAGAGGAGAAGCAGTGCAGGATTTTGTGTGGACACTGCAGTGACCATTGCAAACCCCAAACCCCGATAACTGACCCCAAACCCCGATAACCGACCCCAAACCCCGATAACCGACCCCAAACCCCGATAACCGACCCCAAACCCCGATAACCGACCCCAAACCCCGATAACCGACCCCAAACCCCAAATCCCCCATTCCAGGAGAACCCGTACGTGATGCGCGTGGGCGGCGCGGGCGGCCCCGAGCGCTACGAGGGGCTCTGCGTGGACACTGCAGGGACCATTCCCAAACCCCGATAACCGACCCCAAACCCCAAATCCCCCATTCCAGGAGAACCCGTACGTGATGCGCGTGGGCGGCGCGGGCGGCCCCGAGCGCTACGAGGGGCTCTGCGTGGACACTGCAGGGACCATTCCCAAACCCCGATAACCGACCCCAAACCCCAAATCCCCCATTCCAGGAGAACCCGTACGTGATGCGCGTGGGCGGCGCGGGCGGCCCCGAGCGCTACGAGGGGTTCTGCGTGGACATGCTGCGCGAGCTGGCGGCGCTGCTCAAGTTCCGCTTCCACATCAAGCTGGTGGAGGACGGGCTCTACGGGGCGCCCGAGCCCAACGGCTCCTGGACCGGCATGGTGGGCGAGCTCATCAACCGGGTACGGGGAGAAACCCCAAAAGGAAAACCCCATAAGGGAAAAACCCCATTGGGAAAAATCCCGTAATGAAAATCCCATAGGGAAAAATCCTATAAGGGAAATCCCATAAGGAGCCCAGCGGCTCCTGGACCGGCATGGTGGGCGAGCTCATCAACCGGGTATGGGAACAACCCCATAACGGAAAACCCCATAAGGGAAAAATCCCATAAAGGAAAAATCCCATAGGAAAAAACCCCATGGGGAAAAATCCCGTAATGAAAATCCCATAGGGAAAAATCCCATAAGGAAATCCCATAAGGAGCCCAACGGCTCCTGGACCGGCATGGTGGGCGAGCTCATCAACCGGGTACGGGGAGAAACCCCACAACGGAAAAATCCCGTAACGAAAACCCCATTGGGAAAAATCCCGTAATGAAAATCCCATATAGAAAATCCCATAAGAAAAAAACCTGTAAGTAAAATCCCATAAAGAAAATCCCATAGGGAAAAACCCCATAAGGGAAATCCCATAAGGAGCCCAACGGCTCCTGGACCGGCATGGTGGGCGAGCTCATCAACCGGGTACGGGGAGAAACCCCAAAACGGAAAAATCCCATAACGAAAACCCCATTGGGAAAAACCCCGTAGAGAAAAATCCCATAGAGAAAAACCTCATAGAGAAAAATCCCATAAGGGAAATCCCATAAGGGAAATCCCATAAGGAGCCCAACGGCTCCTGGACCGGCATGGTGGGCGAGCTCATCAACCGGGTACGGGGAGAAACCCCACAACGGAAAAATCCCGTAACGAAAACCCCATCGAGAAAAATCCCATAGAGAAAAATCCCATAGAGAAAAATCCCGTAACAGAAATCCCATAATGAAAATCCTAGAGAGAAAAATCCCATAAGGAAAATCCCATAGCAAAAATCCCATAGGGAAAAATCCCATAATGAAAAATCCCATAATGAAAATCCCATAACGGAAATCCCGCAGAGAAAAATGCCATAGGGAAAATCCCATAAGGGAAATCCCACAGAGAAAAATCCCATTGGGAAAAATCCCATAAAGGAAATACTATAATGAAAATTCCATACAGAATATCCCATAACGGGAAAAATCCCATAACGAAAACCCCATAAGGGAAAAACCCCCTTGGGAATAATCCCATTGGGAAAAATCCCATTGGGAAAAACCCCGTAACGGAAATCCTGTGAAGGAAATCCCATAAAAGAAATCCCATACAGAAAATCCCATTGGGAAAAATCCTATACAGAAAATCCCGTAACAAAAATCCCATAAGGGAAAAATCCCATAAGGAAAATCCCATCCCAGTCTGACCCCCCATTTTTGGGGTTTTGGGGTCTCCAACCCCGGGATTTTTTGGGGTTTTTTGGGGTCCCTGACCCTCCGTTTTTGGGGTTTTTTGGGGTATTTTTTTGGGGTCCCTGACCCCCCGTTTTTGGGGTTTTTTTGGGGTCTCTGATCCCCCATTTTTAGGGGGTTTTTTTGGGTCCCTGACCCCCGTTTTTGGGTTTTTTTGGGGTATTTTTTTGGGGTTTTTTGTTTGTTTGTTTTTGGGGTGGTTTTTTTTTTGGTGTTTTTTTTTGTTTGTTTGTTTGTTTGGGTTTTTTTGGGTTTTTTTATTTTTGTTTTTTTGGGGGTTTTTTGTTGGTTTTTTTTAACCTAATTATTTGTGGATTTGTTGCACTGGTTGGAATTGGAAATTGTGCAGTGACCATTAGGACTTCTGATACTCTTCCTCAAGGCATCTCAGCCTTCCACTTGTACTGGATTGCTTATTTAAATTCACCTTTTTTATTTTAAAGAATTTAGATCTTGAGAAGCTGGTCTAGTTTCTGAAATGGAATTTGATTAAATGATTATATAACTTATTGACTATTATGATATGAACTGTCAGAGGTGATTTTAACAGAAATCAGAGGTTCCCCACCTGAGGTTCCCCAAGGTCTGGGTGTGAGTACTGGCAGACTTCAGCCACTGCAGTCTTGTGTCTGAGTATTCTGGGTCTGTAGAGTGTGGGGATGTGTTTAAGAAGAAAAATCAATGAGTTTTTGAGTGAAAATTAAAAATGAGGAGGGTATCATCTCTGAGTCTAAGATGTGCTTGAAATATCTGAAGTTTATGCAGCTGATTTGTTCATTCACAGTGCACAGAACTGAACCTTTGATAAGAAGACACTTTGAAACCAAAAGGTCTGAAACCTTTGAATATTCCTTCCTAGGCTGGACAAGGTTTTTGATTTTAATAGAGCTGCAGTAAGGATGCAGAACATAACCCCTTACTTCTCATGTGTGATACAATCCTCTCTGATCATGTTTGTTTAATATTCTGATCATGTAAAGTGTTAAATGGTCTTGACTTCGTTTAAAGTCAGGAATTGTAGCATCTGTCTTTAATTACCTGACAGCATTTTCGGAGTTCTTGTCAAATTCTGCCTTAAAGGAATGACACTTTCTGAGCAGATTTGGACTCCTTTGCCATATCTCCTTCACCACTTGTTGTCTGTATCCTCTTCTTGCACCTCAGCTTGGGAGATGCAATTTGCACCCCTAAGAGCAGCTGCCAGGGCTGTGTGTCCTGCACACCTCCAGGGTGGGAATGGCTGTGCTGAGCAGGGTGGTGCCTGTGGAGGAATTCTCATTCTGAAGCCAAAGGATGATCGAGGAACCCCGGCAGCAATTTAGGGAATTCATGTGCTGTGCCTCGGGCAAACACTGATTAATGAAACAGCCCCGGCCCCGAATTTGCTGAGGGAGGCTCTTTGTGGCAGATACATTGTGTATTTCGGCATTAATTGTCTGCAGTAACCAGGAAGTTCCTGATACTTCTGTAATTATGTATATGTATTATATTATCAATGCCAGAAAAGCCAGAACAGGTTCAATTCTTTCCATATGGAACAGGGTGGGACATGAAGGAAATGATGCCTCTATTCCTAATTCCCAGCCCTGCCCTCTACAGTCAATACACCATATAAATCCTATATATAAATATATATATATAAAATATCACATACTATATACACTATAATACACGATTACAGTATATTTATCTGTATTCCCAGGGTGAGGTGAGGCTCCTGGACCGGCATGGTGGGCGAGCTCATCAACCGGGTACGGGGAGAAACCCCACAACGGAAAAATCCCGTAACGAAAACCCCATGGGGAAAAACCCCATAGGGAAAAATGGTGTAATAAAAATCCCATAGGGAAAAATCCTATAAGGGAAATCCCATAAGGAGCCCAGCGGCTCCTGGACCGGCATGGTGGGCGAGCTCATCAACCGGGTACGGGGAGAAACCCCACAACGGAAAAATCCCGTAACGAAAACCCCATGGGGAAAAATCCCGTAATGAAAATCCCATAGGGAAAAATCCTATAAGGGAAATCCCATAAGGAGCCCAGCGGCTCCTGGACCGGCATGGTGGGCGAGCTCATCAACCGGGTATGGGAACAACCCCATAACGGAAAACCCCATAAGGGAAAAATCCCATAAAGGAAAAATCCCATAGGAAAAAACCCCATGGGGAAAAATCCCGTAATGAAAATCCCATAGGGAAAAATCCCATAAGGAAATCCCATAAGGAGCCCAACGGCTCCTGGACCGGCATGGTGGGCGAGCTCATCAACCGGGTACGGGGAGAAACCCCACAACGGAAAAATCCCGTAACGAAAACCCCATGGGGAAAAATCCCGTAATGAAAATCCCATAGGGAAAAATCCCATAAGGAAATCCCATAAGGAGCCCAACGGCTCCTGGACCGGCATGGTGGGCGAGCTCATCAACCGGGTACGGGGAGAAACCCCACAACGGAAAACCCCATAAGGGAAAAACCCCATTGGGAAAAACCCCGTAGAGAAAAATCCCATAGGGAAAAATCCCATAAGGGAAATCCCATAAGGAGCCCAACGGCTCCTGGACCGGCATGGTGGGCGAGCTCATCAACCGGGTACGGGGAGAAACCCCACAACGGAAAAATCCCGTAACGAAAACCCCATCGAGAAAAATCCCATAGAGAAAAATCCCATAGAGAAAAATCCCGTAACAGAAATCCCATAATGAAAATCCTAGAGAGAAAAATCCCATAAGGAAAATCCCATAGCAAAAATCCCATAGGGAAAAATCCCATAATGAAAAATCCCATAATGAAAATCCCATAACGGAAATCCCGCAGAGAAAAATGCCATAGGGAAAATCCCATAAGGGAAATCCCACAGAGAAAAATCCCATTGGGAAAAATCCCATAAAGGAAATACTATAATGAAAATTCCATACAGAATATCCCATAACGGGAAAAATCCCATAACGAAAACCCCATAAGGGAAAAACCCCCTTGGGAATAATCCCATTGGGAAAAATCCCATTGGGAAAAACCCCGTAACGGAAATCCTGTGAAGGAAATCCCATAAAAGAAATCCCATACAGAAAATCCCATTGGGAAAAATCCTATACAGAAAATCCCGTAACAAAAATCCCATAAGGGAAAAATCCCATAAGGAAAATCCCATCCCAGTCTGACCCCCCATTTTTGGGGTTTTGGGGTCTCCAACCCCGGGATTTTTTGGGGTTTTTTGGGGTCCCTGACCCTCCGTTTTTGGGGTTTTTTGGGGTATTTTTTTGGGGTCCCTGACCCCCCGTTTTTGGGGTTTTTTTGGGGTCTCTGATCCCCCATTTTTAGGGGGTTTTTTTGGGTCCCTGACCCCCGTTTTTGGGTTGGACCATTTTCGGGGCGGTTTTCACGCAGTTTTAGGGGGGTCTCCGGGCCCAGCGCGGGGGTCTCACTCGGCGTCCCCCCAGGGCCGCAAGCCGGGGTATTTCTCCTTCCTAGACCCCTTCTCGCCGGCCGTGTGGCTCTTCATGCTCCTGGCCTACCTGGCCGTCAGCTGCGTGCTCTTCCTGGCCGCCAGGTGAGGGGGGACGCCCCAAAACGGGGCCCCGGAACTGGGGGGGACACCCCCAAAAACGGCCCCAAAAAAAAGGGAGGGAGGAGGCGAAAATCCTGGGAAAACACCCCCCAAAAAACCCTGGAAATGCCCCAAAATTGGGCCAAAAACTGGGGGACGGCACCCCAAAACGGGGTTGGGGATTGGGGGGGACACCCCAAAAAACGGCCCCAAAATAAAGGGAGGGAGGAGGCGAAAATCCCGGGAAAACACCCCCCAAAAAACCCTGGAAATGCCCCAAAACTGGGCCAAAAAGTGGGGGAGGGCACCCCAAAACGGGGTTGGGGATTGGGGGAGGACACCCCAAAAAACAGCCCCAAAAAAGGGAGGGCGGAGGCGAAAATCCCGGGAAAACTCCCCCCAAAAAAACCCCGAAAATGCCCCAAAACAGGATCGAGAATTGGGGGGGGGACGCCCCAAAACGGGGCCCCGGAATTGGGGGGGACACCCCAAAAAACAGCCCCAAAATAAAGGGAGGGAGGAGCGGCAGGGAGGAGGCGAAAATCCAGGGAAAACTCCCCCCCAAAAAAACCAGCTCCCAAAAAATTCATTTTGGGTGGTCTCAGGTTAATTTGGGGTGGTCCAAGGCTATTTTGGGGTGGTCCCAAATTAATTTGTGCTGGTCCCAGACTAATTAAGGGTGGTCCCAAATTAATTTGGGGTGCTCCCAGGCCAGTTTGGAGTGGTCCCAAATTAATTTGGGGTGGTCCCAGATTTATTTTGGGTGGTCCCAGATTAATTTGTGCTGGTCCCAAATTAATTTGTGGTGGTCTCAGATTTATTGAGAGTGGTCCCAGATAATTTTGGGTGGTCCCAAATTAATTTGGGGTGGTCCC